CAATGGATCGATGGTGTAACTATAGGTTCCTTCTTCAGGTAATCTTTACAACGGATCGATGGTGTAACTATAGGTTCCTTCTTCTGGGTAATCTTTACAACAGATCGATGGTGTAACTATTGGATCCTTCTTCGGGTAATCTTTACAACGGATCGATGGTGTAACTATGGGATCCTTCTTCGGGTAATCTTTTTTTGAATTCATGAAAAACAATGGTTGGAGAATTGTCCAAAGTCTTTACAACCTTATTTTATTGAAGATATGTGGATCACACTCTTGTTAATTCCAAGGACCCAGTCCATGTTTTTAAATGTTTGGAGTATTGAAGTAGAATACACTAAAATTATTTATTGCTGATCATCAGCAACATAAAAAATATTTACTGGACTTTACTTGTATTTTACAAGTTTCATACCAACTGTGTGTAACCATTTCGCAAAGGGAGTTCCTTTAAACGGTTTTATGTGCAAGTCTCTGTTTACGTTCAAAATGTAATATTATAATGTGTGTCATGATCTGAAGTTTTATTTTGTCCAAGTATTAAGTCCTTTATTTCAAATAACTACTTAAAACTTCAGGTGTATTGTCATGTGACCAACAAACTATGAAAAATCTCTACTTTGGCTCTCTGTATCTTCAATAATATAATGTTATTACAGTAGAGGTACATCAAAACAATAAGATGCTTACATAACCTTTTGACTGTTTCCTTTCAAATTATTCTGAATAAATACAGTTAAAACAAGTAATAAGTTTTTCGACCTCTGACAGTTACCACTTCCATGTAGACGTTACATACATGTGTATATAACCATTAGAAAGAGCTCATTTTACAGTATAAACTAACAATGATTATGTTGAAATCAGTGCCCAGTTGTCATGGAGTATGTGTAACTGACTGTAGTATTGTTGGCTGCTTGATCGACTGTAGCACTTATGGTTGTTTCTTAGCTAAATATGTTATAGTTAGAGATACAGTTTAAATTGTATTTTAGTTATGTTTTAAAATGCATAATTAAAAGGTTTAAACATTTTTTAAATATACATCATACTTTGCATCTACTCTCAAGGCTTACGATATTACGTATTGAACAAAAATTTTGACAAAGGGTTGCATACATCTCCCAAAGAAATTGTAACTTGCTTCGAGGGCACTTAATGACTTGTGTTAAGATGAATAATTAGTAGCAAAAGACAAGAAAGGAAAATAAAGCATTAAAAATTAACAACATGTGAAAAGGAAAAGAAAAAAAGATGAAATTATGAACTTAATAAAAGGAAGCTCTTTAGAGATATTCTACAAAAAATGAAAAGGTATTTTTTTTCTGTTTCCTAATTTTAATTATTTCGTTGCATTGATGATAATAACTGGAGTTAGAGATGTGGTAGAGAAAATGAAAAATCAAATATAAAAATTTACCTTAAAAAACTTTTGATATCCTCTTAGGAGGTTTTAAAGATTATGCAAATGAAAATCACCATGCACTTGATTTGTTAATAGTTTAAATGCGAGTAACTCCAATAGAAAAATACTTAATTATAAAACCGTCATTATATGTGTACAAGATACTTACCAGTTTTTGAGAGGATTGTAAGAAATCTCAGAGTTACTGCATGTATTGTTGTGCAAGTCAAATTTGCGACTCGATTTCCGCAAATTGCAAGAGCCCGCCGCGAAAAGGTTAAAGCAAACATGTATAAAGTATAAAGAAGTTATTAATTTTTGCAATAAGAATTTGATGACATCAAAAATTTTAATAAAGTACTAATGTTTGAAGTTCCTGTAAGTTTAGTATATACATAATCTTGTCATATGTTAGGAAACATCCTACTTCATTGTGTACAACCGAGATGTAGTTTTAATATTGTCTGTGTACTTCTTCATATATAATGATTGGATTTCATCCAATGTAGTATTGTCAGTTTATCTGTTCCTTGTTGTAATTAAGGTTACATCAGTTGTACTACATGAATGTGAGTGAAAAACAGTAATATCACCAAAACACTGGAATAAAGAAGAAGGTGAAATGTAAGGTCAAAACACAAACACTGAAATACTGATGAAGCTGAAATGTAAGGTCAAAACATAAACACTGGAATAAAGAAGAAGGTGAAATGTAAAGTCAAAACATAAACACTGGAATAAAGAAGAAGGTGAAATGTAAGGTCAAAACATAAACACTGGAATAAAGATGAAATGTAAGGTAAAAACACAAACACTGAAATACTGATGAAGGTGAAACGTAAGGTCAAAACATAAACACTGGAATAAAGATGAAACGTAAGGTCAAAACACAAACACTGAAATACTGATGAAGGTGAAACATAAGGTCAAAACATAAACACTGGAATAAAGATGAAGGTGCCAGTGTTTATGTTTTTCATCTTTATTGGTGAAATGTAAGGTCAAAACATCAGAATAAAGATGAAGGTGAAATATAAGGTCAAAACATCAGAATAAAGATGAAGGTGAAATGTAAGGTCAAAACATCAGAATAAAGATGAAGGTGAAATATACATATATGTGTCGGTGAGCTGGGAATAGTTTCAACAGTTTTCTTGTTTTGTTTATATAGGACCATATTTCACAAAACAAGTATTTGTAATAAAAAAAAAGGAGTTCCTTTTAATCAACAGGTGAACCACGTTGTATCCTCAAAGAACAATAAAATATTTTTGTTGGAACCACACATTCATGCAGTTAGATGTGGTGGCTATTATAACATCAGTGCTTTGAAAATAGTATAATGCTATCTATTAGATTTTTAACGTAAACATATCAAGTTACAAATCATTTTTAAAAATAACGAAGAAAAAATACCAAATTTCATTTTAAAACAAATGTCACTTGAGGTTAAGATGAATTTGTATAAAAAAAATATGAATATTATGTTTTCTTTAACAAATAACTTGAACTAAATGTGATTTTCTGATATCTGGCTAAGGCATTTAGCAATAGTTCCACTTTTGTTAATGTTATTATAATGCTGAATTATAATTTTTTATACTACCAAGCAAATTTAAAAAACAATAACAGTATCTCCAGTTGTAGGACTACTTCCTGTAATATATACAATTATTTAAAGAAGAAGAAAAATTTTACCTAATAAAACACTTCACAACTAGCTTAACTGTAGTTTTTTAGCAATATCAAATCTCATTAAAGAGAAAAAAGAAATCATGTTGAATTAAATTTAAGTTGTTTGAACTCCACAACAACATCTAGAAATATATTTAAACTCTGCTTTAGTTTCGTAAAATTCATCAAAACTATAAATTATTCCCTTCTAGCGATCACTAATTTTAATTAATGTACAAAATATTCACATTTTTGTTGCTGCAATTTCTTACCGTTTGTTCAGACATCATCAAGTCTTAACTTTGCTTGCTTTGTCAATTTTTACACTCCAATTCTGTCAAAAGAAAAGTAGGGTTAAGAGTACTAACTTCAGCTGCAGAGATCTTAGCTCTAGGTACTAAGAACTTATTATCTGACATGACTATGATACAGTTGAAATATATAAAAATGTGAAATCTACTTGTATTTTTAATTGCAAAATTAAAATTATTTTTAAACTTTCTTGGAAATACATTTATAAAACAAAAACTTTCATTAGTAACAAAACCTACAGTTTTAGTTATAATAATTCCATTTGGCTATGTTTTTAAAGATTTCAACTTACCATTAAGATGGTTGTTCTTATCCTGAAGGTTCAATTATACCCACATTATTAGCTATGTTTTTAAAGATTTCAACTTACCATTAAGATAGTTGTTCTTATCCTGAAGGTTCAATTATACCAACATTATTAGCTACATTGTTGGATAATTCTACATTACCATTATATGGTTGTTCTTATCCTGAAGATTCAGTTATACCAAAATTATTAGCTACATTCTTGGATAATTCTATATATCATTACATGGTTGTTCTTATCCTGAAGGTTCAGTAATACCAAGATTATTAGCTATGTTTTTAAAGAATTCAACTTACCATTAAGATGGTTGTTCTTATCATGAAGGTTCAATTATACCAACATTATTAGCTATGTTTTTAAAGATTTCAACTTACCATTAAGATGGTTGTTCTTATCATGAAGCTTCAGTTATACCAACATTATTAGCTATGTTTTTAAAGAATTCAACTTAACATTAAGATGGTTGTTCTTATCCTGAAGGTTCAGTTATACCAACATTATTAGCTATGTTTTTAAAGAATTCAACTTACCATTACATGGTTGTTCTTATCCTGAAGGTTCAGTAATACCAACATTATTAGCTATGTTCTTGGAGAATTCTACTTATCATTACATGGTTGTTCTTATCCTGAAGGTTCGGTAATACCAACATTATTAGCTACATTCTTGGAGAATTCTACTTATCATTACATGGTTGTTCTTATCCTGAAGGTTCAGTAATACCAACATTATTAGCTACATTCTTGGAGAATTCTATATATCATTACATGGTTGTTCTTATCCTGAAGGTTCAGTAATACCAAAGTAATGATAAGTAGAATTATCCAACAATGATGGTTGTTCTTATCCTGAAGGTTCAGTAATACCAACATTATTAGCTACATTCTTGGAGAATTCTACTTATCATTACATGGTTGTTCTTATCCTGAAGGTTCAGTAATACCAACATTATTAGCTATGTTCTTGGAGAATTCTATATATCATTACATGGTTGTTGTTCATTTGTCTTGTGAGGATTCTAACGTGTAAAATCAATGTGATTCTTGTGTATTTGTTAGCTTACACGTACATTATATCATTGTTTATCACTCGAAAGTGATAAAATAGACCATAAATATCTAACGTAGTTTTTGTGAAATGCCCCAATGAGTCGAGTCCAATAGATGAAACGCATGAACATCAATAAAAGCACATTAACAAGGACCAAGAAAGATACTTATTATTAAAATAACTTAAATCAGTGGTTGGCAACCTTTTTTGATCGAGGATCAATTATGTTTTTGTTTTAATTTAGCATTGTGTTGGGTCACTGATAGTCATTACATGTATTTAAATGTTTATGTTTATTTACATACAACAAACAAAATTATTTTCTAAAAACAAACAAGATGATTCCTTCACCAAATACATTTAACAAGAAAAATATAAACAGTTCTTCAGTGATTTCGTAACACATAATTTAATGACATTTTTACACGTTGTTCAGTCTCAGCCAAGCAAATCGAGGTAACATCATTCAGTGATGGCACCGTGCAGCCATGACAACAGTGACAAAGCAACTTATCTGGCCCACACGTCTGTTCTGTTGTCACAAATAAAACACTACCGTCAATTATATATAACTTTTATTTACCTGTAAATATAAATAATTTACCATATACTCACCTCAAAACCTATAAAAACAACAAAATATATCACACACAGCACTTTCTTCCAGACAAGCAAGAAATCTCTCGATTAATGACAGCACAGTACACCAGAAGCATTACGGCCAAAAGTTTTGTCACCAGCTTGAATATTTTTCCCCAAAATTGATCTTTCCTTTAATGTCTTCATTTTTCTCACATAGCTGAGAAATTTGAACAAAGCAATGATTATGCCCTCACGAGTTGCAACAGTGAAGCCAACTTTTGGTGGGTCAACCAAATCATTGCTGTGGGTCATAGGTTGCCAACCACTGACTTAAATCCTTAATGCTTATGATGTGCAGGAGTACAATCAGATATATCTTTATTTAAACTGTGTATTTTAAAATAAACATTATTACTTTACACTTTTTTGTAACTTGTAAAGTTTATTTTCTAAAGTTAAACACTAATCTGGCAATGAAGTAATGAGCAAAACAAGCAGGTCACAAAATGAAAATCAACCAACAATGCTCAATAGAACTTTTTTTGTAAATGTAATTTGTTTTTAAAAGATATATATATTTCCAAGAACACATTCTTTAAATTTTGAAGTAATTGTTTCCATATCTGTCTCTATCATTTAAAATGTTTCAATATGACCGAGGGAAATTACCTGTTTTCTCTAAAAAATATTCAATTATATTGATAAGACAATAAGTACCTTGTTTCAGATTATGTCATTTAAATAAAGTATCTTGTTTCAGATTATGTCATTTAAATAAAGTATCTTGTTTCAGATTATGTCATTTAAATAAAGTACCTTGTTTCAGATTATGTCATTTAAATAAAGTATCTTGTTTCAGATTATGTCATTTAAATAAAGTATCTTGTTTCAGATTATGTCATTTAAATAAAGTATCTTGTTTCAGATTATGTCATTTAAATAAAGTATCTTGTTTCAGATTATGTCATTTAAATAAAGTACCTTGTTTCAGATTATGTCATTTAAATAAAGTACCTTGTTTCAGATTATGTCATTTAAATAAAGTATCTTGTTTCAGATTATGTCATTTAAATAAAGTACATTGTTTCAGATTATGTCATTTAACTAAAGTACCTTGTTTCAGATTATGTCATTTAACTAAAGTACCTTGTTTCAGATTATGTCATTTAAATAAATATTATATTCTATCAAAAGTTATCCGTGAGCTTAAACTACAGAAAAAAATAAAGGGAATTACTATTACCTTTAAATTTCCAAAATATAACTGTCTATATTATTTCATCAGTTAATAACAATTACAAAAACCAATTCTAATATTGCAAGTGTTGAACAACTAAGAAGATGAGGATGATGGGGTATTTCTGTTCAGAAGGCTGGTTTATACATACTTATCAGCCATTCTATTACTATGTTGTTGTTTCTTATTTATTTGCACACGACAGCCCACATGGTATACAAATAATATAAACTGATTGAATTTATTATTAAAGGTGTAAATAGTATGTGAAAATTATTGAACATCAAATTCTACACGACAAACACTTTAGTATTTACAATATATATATATATATGTTCTTTACCAATTCTATTGATAAAAATATAATTCTGGAAGGTTTAAATGTTTAATAATAGATGCAGTTTTCATTAAAGAACAACCACAAAAAATGCTCTAATTTTTTTATTGAGAAAACTATTATAAACTGCCTCTCCAAGGTTGGGATTATATACAAGAACAACACAACTAGTATTTATTACCCAAGTCTTTAATCTTTCTTGGCATTATTTAATAATACAAACTTCTGGTTAATGGACATCACACAAGATGTTTTATCCTTTTCTTAGGACATTACTTTTAGTGAAAAGAAGAAAATATTAACTATGTGATGATTTATCTTATTGTTAGGTGTGTGAAAAAATATCGTATTATTCAGAGAAATACACTTTATCAGCAGAAAAAGATTAATAATTATCTAAGGAATTACTACTTTTCTATGTATGTGAGCCTTAAGCTCCTAACTACTGATAAATGGAATGTGTAACCACATCAATACTTCACAACACACATACATATTCACACACACATTAAAAGAAACTAAACCACAATCAACCTTACATTTAAAAGATAGTTAAAAGTTATATTGTTGAAATTCCAAAAAATCTGGCTATTTTAAAACTGTAATATCAATTTATGAATGATTACACCATTCACCATTTTCAAAACAAGTCATGAGAAAAGGGGGATGTTAAAACAGCGACACGTGTCCACCTAAAAAGAAGCCCTCTAATTTTATACCATTATTCTTATGTACCATAATAAATCAACCCTGTTATTAAACTATTCCTGGAAGTTTCCTGAGTAAACTGAAATTCCTCGACTGACGTTAACAGAAGTGTAGTTCTAGCTGTTCCTTTCTGCCTGCCTGAGCTGTCTGAAACCTGCCCCTGTCCTTCAAGCTGAACGTAGCTACAACTCTGTTCTCTCATTCCTAAACCAAAATGTATAAAGGTCATTCACGTTAGCTAAACTTCAATAGCTAAATTATTTAATGGGTTTTTCCTTTTTCAAGTATGTGTACAGTTATTATACAAACCCCTTTTCCTGCTTTTAAAAAGTAACTGACAATTTTATAGTTGTGGAAAAACCTATCTAAGATTAACTTTATTTAGAACATGTTTAATATTAAGCAGGGGTAAAACATTTCACACATATAGAAGCAGATGTCTCTTTTCATCACTCAGCTAGAGAAATAAAATATACAGCTACATTTTGAATTCTTATTAGTTCCCATACAAGTCTTCTTTATTCAACCACACAGATTAAGGATGGCCAAAAACTGTTATAAATTAAATATCCACACAAGCAAAGGTTTCATACTGACACAAAGAGTAAAGTTGTTTGCTAAGAAAATTATTCAATCTTTTAGCTGATGTTTTTAGAACTATCCCATGTTCAGCACAAATCTGCATATAGTAAGAAAATGTGGAAACAAAAGAAAATGACATGGATTAACTATATCGCAACGAGTCACGTGTCAAAGTCCATGTCATCGCGTTTGTTGACTTACATTCAAAATTTTATTGAACTACTATTTTATGAATTTATGTCAATAAGTTTGGCATCAAACTGTAGATTATAATTCAAATTTTAGTATTATACATTATTCAATTTCTTAATTTAAAAGTAAATATTAAAAAACATACACTTAAACATTGATTTTTGTGTGTCACGTGGTATGTTGAATGCAGCACTGGTTTCAGTTAGATTGTTTGTGATGTGAGAATACAAAGTCTATTAGTTTTTTTGTGAATTAGAATTTCAAACTAACAATTATTTACAAGCTTAGAATATAAAATAAGAG